TGAAGTGACAGCTCCAGGTGGCAGTCCAGAGCTTCAGAGAGTACAAGAAGATGAGCAGCAACTGTTGGCCTGATGCCTACAGATAAATAATAAACCAACTGTGAGCTGGAAGCTGTTCCTCTGCCAGGACACTGAGCGATGACGCAGACATAGAGAGAACGAGGAAGACGAGAAGCAGTTTAATCCTCTGCGCCTGCGGTTTGGCCTCAGATTGATCAGGTCTGGATTTTTAATTTTTAGATACAGTATTTTCCAGAATATAAATCCCACTGTTTTACATCCTTTGGCTGGGTTTGCGATTTACATACTCAGGTGCGACTTATATATTAAAATGTATAATTTTACGTTGCCACAAAAGGGCACTGGTGTGACCTATACTCTGAAGCGACTTATAGTCTGGAAAATACGGATATTCAAAATGACTGGCAGCAAAAGTAATGAGCTGAGATTAACTCCAACATAAAACATGGCATTTCTTTGGAATCAGTTTATCAATTCTTGATCCCAGAGGTTTAAGGATGACAATAATCATTTTTTTATGTGATTTGTTTTAAAATACATTGACATAACTCCTGCACAACAACGAAGTCGTTGTCAGATGTTAACCACATGCTTCCATTACTTTTATATTTCTGAAATTTAAACTATTCATCTCATGTTTTCCGCTGAGACTCCATGGATATTTTTATCTTTAACCTCAGTAGAATTGTACATGTGTGCATGAGAGAAAGAATAAGATACCAAATGAAACCCAGTCGGGCTGGAGTACTCAGTGAAACAGAGCTCATGTTTACATTCACTCTTGTTTACTCTGCAGCTCTTTAAAGTGGATGAGATCAGTCATTTCTAACAGGACCTAACATGCTCGTCTGCAGTGTTGCTACCCTCTGTGTCTGTTTCATTCAAGTGGGAAAATACACCCAGTAGGTGGCAGTAATGTAAGAAAAACGGCTGCATTTTCTTTTACAATGTTGTGTTCAGGAATGCATTTTTTTAAATTGTTTTTTAATTTTTATTTATGTTTGAGGAAAGTGTTAAAAATCTGAAATTTTTGTTTAATTCTTAAAAAAGGATGAAGTAGATGTTTTGGCACTAAAATATTTCCATCACACAGAATTGCCTGTGCTTTACTGCACCTCCTAGCCTTGTGAGTTACACTTTTGTAGTTTTTTTTTTTTGTGAGTTACGCCTTTGTCGTTTTTTGTTTTTGCACTTTTTTTAAACGAATAATTTGGATTAGTCACAACTAAAAAAACTAATAATTTGGATTAGTCACAACTAAAAAAACTGTTATTTCTCTTTCAGCAATATACAGAAAAGACTAATTTATTTTAAATACTCATTATTAATTGTGATTAATTCACATATTGAATCTTTGAAGTGTTTGACAATCCTACTCATTGTTGACTTAGTGCCTTCTTCTCTGTACAAAACTATTAAGTTGCTACTATGTAGTTAAAAGCTCAGGTCATTTAAAACAATCACATATTCAGACTTTCACAATGAGGTCAATACTGTCTACACCACAGACCAAACAGTGTTTTTACAAAACAACTGCGGCTCATTATTGAACAGAGGTGTTTACAGGATGAGACAGGTGTTTGTCCTGATTCATCTGAAATCCGTACAGAGAATGTTAAAAGTCTCCGATCCAAATTGCCCAAAGTGTTTTCTGTAAACGAGCTGGTTGACAAGTCACCTGCTGCGTGGAGATTGACAGCTGCTGGTTCTGAGATGCTCTGCATCGACAGCGGATCACGTGTTGGCGACTTAAATGGTTTGACACATAAAGTGTGACACGTTTCCCTTTTCATGGTGTGTGAGTGGGTGAAGCAGCTGGGTGACACGCAGCCCAGGGGTGAGGGAGGTGGAGAGGCTGCAGTGTGCTGGTAGTGGCTGTGTTGTGGTGGTCATTGTTCACCCTCCCTCCACCCCTCCCTCCCCCACCTCTCCAGATGCCCCACGATGACAGAGGACCCCGCCATCGGCCTGCAGCAGGACACTTGGCACTGATGATGGCTTTTGGTTCTCCCGGAGGCCGGAGCGTGCCAGGCGACAGCTGCAGGGCTTATGGTCTCTACGCATAACCGACCCTCGCCAACCCCCCCAAACACAGAATATCACTACATCACTATATCCCCCCTCCCCTGATAGCCCTCCATAACCCTCCATCCACGCCAGGCCACGCGGGCCAGCGTCCACCTCAATGCCACCATTGTTATGCTCTTTGCCAGCTAAGCCCACCATATCAGAGAGATGACCCCCCCACCCCCCGCCTCCACACACACACACACACACACAGCACTGGTCTTGAGTGTGATAGTGTATTAACACAGGGCTGAGGATGATGGACTACACTTTGATTGCTCAGCAGCTGTTGCAGCGTAAAGAAGTGAGAAAGAGAAGGAGACAGTGAGACGGAGGAATGAGTGGGCAGAAGAAAAGTAGAAGAAGCTACAGTATATAAGCAGGAGACAATATGAGATTGTCTGCCTTTCAATGTCCACTCTTTGGTTTTTATTCACCTAGTGTCAGTGAGGAAGTAAGAAATGTTAAACACAAAAAAACAACAACAACAACTAAAATGAGATGCTGCAACAATAACAAAGGGCAGTTAAAAAATGTTAAACACAAAAACAACAACTAAAATGAGGTGCTGCAACAATAACAAAGGGCAGTTAAAAAATGAAATGTAGACACAGTCGCTGTTGCATAAGTGAGCTGAGAAACTGATCAGTATTTACTGAAAGTGAGAGCAGCGCCAGGCTTTGTGTGAGAAGCCGGTTATGTAACTGTCATGTTGCTTTGGACACCACATGACCTCAGACCCCTAAAGGGCAGGTGTCAGGAGGAGCCTGGTGACACAGTGGAATGTCACGCTACATGTCACACAACTTAGGTGTCACAGTAATGTATGACGAACACTGTGGGGAGGGAGCGCTGCATTCAAGTTGTGCAGAGATATAAATTTGGACAAAACATCAACAACACATCAGCAGCGCTGGTACCAGGCAGGATTCAAACCTGTGATGCTGAGATATCAAGCCTGGTCCTCTTACCACTAGGCCACAGGCTGCCAAACGGGTGTGGCAAGAAGCTTTATAGTTGTATGTCAACAAACTCACATACACATGAACCAACAAACAGTTGTACAGTGAAGTCATGCAGGTGTTTGACAGACCAGACAGACCAAGTTTGTTACTTCAAAGAACACGCCTGCTTTACATCACGCCAAGCCATACTCTGCATTTTGTGTGTGTGTGTGTTTGATGATGTAAGACTTGCCTGCAGCTGCTGGTCCATGGAAGCCGTGAAGCTCTTGTTGCACAGATATTGTTGCCAGAGGGAGATTAGAACTGTGAAGTTGGAGACAACAGAAGATCTCAGAAGTTTTATGCCCTTTATGAACCTAACAAAAATCCATATACGATCACGTAGTAAAATATCGATACAGTATCGTGAAAAATTGCAACAGTATCGTAACAATATCGCGATATATCACCTTATCAGTTACTTTATTTATTACAGTTATTTATTACATTCCAGGAGTGATGGGAGTAAGTTTATGAATTTGAGCATTAAAAATGCACTCCCTGGAAACGGTATTTTAAAAAATATAAATGTAAAGTGTAAGTAATTAATATTATGTATATTGGTTTTACAGTAGTTGTGTCAGTTTTGTTATTAATATCTACTTGCCACATATAAAAGTGTGTTTAACGACATTTTGTGTGTGCACGTGCACTTGTGTGTGAGTAAAAGACTAACTGTGTGATTTACTCTCACACTGACACTGACACTGAGACCACACTGTTACCAGATCCTGCTGAGGTCCTGGAACTCACCTCATCAGCACCTTACACACACACGTGTGCACACACACATACACTCTCTCTCTCTCTGTCTATGTAACACACAGTTCGGAGAAGTCTTGGTGAAGAATGTGCTGGTGTCAGAATTTGGTCAGTTGTCAAAGAGAGACCAGGATCATAAAAACACTTGTCACTTCACATTTTGATGTAAAGTCACATGGGTCTAAAATAACAAAAAAAACATTTTTACATGAATGTTGTTTTTATTTACTATACATGTGTTATACTGCATTATTGCATGACTGTTTGTGTGATTTCCAATAATCAACCCACATAATCAACATGTGTTTAAACTGTTGTTTTGAAAACAGCTCAACTAAATAGTATTTGTCCCCGTATGTCATTATTTTTAAAACTATTTTATTATTGTTATTATAATTAGCAATAGTAGTAATAGTTGTAGTAGCAATTTTTTGGTGTATCGTTTGTAAAAAGATGATAAATGTTAAGCCATTTGCCAATTATTCAAACACATTAGAACCATATCTCATGAGCTGTGTTTGCAATCTTTATACACTAGATAATGCTGTTGAATCACTTTCTTCATATTTTACAAGGATGCATCAGCATGTGTGAACAACCTGCGGTAACATTTTGATATTTATTTGATATCTAGTTTGGAGTTTTTAGTGCTATTCTCTTTATTTATCATACCTTCACATGACCTCATTCAGTCACTGTCATTAAACCAATATCTCTTTGTTAAATTTGTCATTTATTTCCACCTTAATTTTTTTAAGAGCATTACCTACTTTTTCTGATGCATGGGAATTTGTTTGAAATTGTTTTATTGTTCCAGAAAATGTAGGTTATAATGCAAGTTAATGGGAAAGTCCTTAACAGCGTTGCTTCTAATTAGGTCCTTACCTGATTAGAACAAATCTCACACTGTCTAATCCCAGGTGTAAGGGTTGGTGTGTGTTCGTGGGCACTGTTCCCGTCACACCCATGAAGCCAAACTGAACCGTGAGGGTTTTTTTTCTCTTCTTCTCTTCGTGATTGGTTGCAGGAGAGTCTGTCTCCAGAATGACTCTAATCCTCTTAGATAAAATAGAGCCGTGGTCCAATCCCCTGCTCCAGTCTCTCCCCCTCCCTCTCTCTCTCTGCCGATGGGGAAGAGAAGTTTTAATCCAAATGGATTATGTTGGCAAATTGGGCGACAGTAAAGAGGAGAGCAACAAAACCTGCTGCACGTTGTTGTGTGTTTGCAGCAGGTATGAGGTGGAGACACTGACACATTTAATAGTCTGCCAGGTTTCTTTAGGAAAAGACTGAAATAACGAAGGAAAGCCCTGGAGCATCCTGGAGCAGGTGCAGAAGACTGTGAGCTGCCTCTGAGAAGCTTTTTTTGTCTTTAAACTACATTTGTTTGTAGAGCAGCGCCAACGTTTATCGTTTTACATCCAGGACAACATGAATTAGCATTTTTTGGGAAAAAATCTTCTTGAAGTTTACCTTATCATAATGGGATAGTGTCACCTGTGGAGTTCGTTGAAATATGATGGAGGACCTTCATGGTCAAGAAAACATTTTTGGAACAAACTTTTCTGAGCCAACAAAATGAATCCAGCCTTTAAAAACTCCTTATGATTCTCAGAGATTGTGAATCTTTCTCCAAAACTTTTGCGGAGTCAGATCTGCAGGGAAGTTGACATCTGGGTTTGGCAACAAGATGATGCCTATATCATTTGGATTCACTGAGTTCTTGGGAATTCTTGTGTTCTTCTTCCTGTGGACCACAGCTCAGGCTCAGATGAAAATCCCGCCGGAAACGTAAGTTATATTTTCTGCTGAAGTTCCTTCTGAAACTCATCTCTGGAACCCACAGAAAACAAGGTCTAGGTCTTGTTTCCCAAATTTGTTTTCTGGGGACCCATATTTTAAAAGTCACAAACCTTTGCGACCCAAGTCACTAGACATTATTCGTAAACTCCTGGGAAACATGATCCAAGACGACCCCAAAAAAAACATCGTTTGTGACCCACCTGAGGGTCACGACCCAGTCTTTGGGAAACAATGGTTTAGACCTTTTGGTTCAGACCTGCAGGTGTTTTCATTCCTCATTACAAAGTAAAATGTCTGTTCTGCATGTCACTGCCGTCTGTGCCTCCACACTCTCTCCTCTGTCTCCATCTGTGTGGCCATCATTGGCCACCGGCCACACACACATCAGCCTGAGTCACCTTCCACACTGACCCACATTCCCCTGTCAACCAACCACTGCACGCGGCTACTGTCCTCCACGCTAAAGCCTCACAACCTGCCTCATCTGCTCCACAATCACTGACACAACTGATGTTTTTGAAATTTACTGAACTCTGGAAAGGCCTGTGCTAAAAGTTAAGGTTAGCAACAAATGCTAATACACAGCACTTTAAGACCTAGGTGTGTTGTATAGATGTAACTCTAAATATGACCAACAAGCAAAACAGAAATGTTGTTTTGAAGGTATTTTAAGCAACATTATTATAGAAATATTTAAATAAATAAATTTTACATTTTAATTCACAAAATGAAATGAAATGAAAAATGAACTCACTTAACATAAGAATTAATTTAAAAATGGAGCGAAGCAGGTCAAATCATAACTTTAGTCACTTTGATCAAACATGATGTACAGTTTAATGACTATTAGAAATGAAAAAACATGTCTTTCCTTATGTTATATTCTTATATTTAACACAATTTGTGTTATTTTACACATCTTTTAAATAAGTTCTAAAATGTCAACAATAATAAATTTGACCTCTAGTAGGTTTAAGTTAAAAAGTCATCAAATCAACCTCTGGGTGAAAAACCTACATTTATCAAACAGTAATTCACTCACTGTTTCTGTGTTGTGTTGCTCTGTATGTACAATTGTGTTCCTACCCTTGAGTTTCGGTGTGCGTGGGGGGGGGGGCACCTGCAGTTGTCTGCTCTGACCCAGATGAAGAACAGATTATCTAAATCTCTCATATTGCACACATTCAACTGCCTTTTCCTGCCAGAACTGGCTTTCTCTACAGACTATCGCTATGGCAACAAGCAGCCAAAAATCACATGGCCGCAGTCAACATAAAAAACTGTGTATTTGTGTGTGTGTGTGTGTATGTGTGTGTGTGTGAAAAAAGTCTGAGCCCTAATGAACAGGCCACAGGTTAGGGTTATGAACTGATTACCCAGGGAGGGACAGACAGAAGGGCAGAGAGGCAAACATGACATGACCTTACCCATCATGCACTGTGACAGTTCATCACTGTAGTCTCACTGCAGCTGTGTTAACAGTAATCCATCGGCTGGAGTCAGCTTAGAGAATAATGTGAGAACAATGTCAGATTTAATAATTATAAAGTTGGATAGCACTACAGCGTTCCAGCCAGGAGGTTGTGGGTTTGAGTCCAGCAACATGTCTGGATCTTTCAATCCCTGGTACAAAGGCTGACTCCCATGTAAGAGATCAGTTGAAGGTGATTCTCTTTTTACAGTCATTGAAGGTATTTTAAGCAGCAAACAGCACCTTATATTAATGCAGGTTTTTTTTAATGATTTTGTCCCAATGGTAGAAAATCAGTGCAGCTAATTATATGGTGAGATTGATTGTAACCTTTGTTGTCCGTTCTCCGTCAGGGTGCAGCAGTGGGCGAACACATTCTCCGTTCAACTCCGTGAAGTCACCACCAAATACTCTGGCTCTCTGCTGCTGCAGAAGGTAAATGAACCCAACCCAGTAAAGGTCAGCTGTCAGCCATGTTGTAGTTTGTGTTGATTATGGGCTCCAGTGTCCGACATCATGCAGACGGTGGACGTAACGCCACCAAATAAGAGCGAACACACAATGACCTTTGTCCAATTTCTTGTGACCTTTTGGAAACGCGATGTGTGGAGCTGGAGAAGTGCTAACTGTGGCCGACCTGGTGTGATGATGTGGCATTTCTAGAATTAAAAAATTAAGCCGCAGTTTTAGGCCGTTCCCTAAAGAACTAAATCCGATCCATTTGCATCCAAATTTTCAGAAACTCAAAGATGTGGAGTCCATCATTCAGATTGTGGAGCTGGATGGAGAAGAGCTGGTCAAAGACTTTTCAAATGAAATTGAACGAATGTTGGGAAGCAAAATGAAGTCAGTGAAGGTGAGGAGGAGAAAACGTATGTATCTAATTAGAAAGAGATGCACTGAGCATGGCATCGTCCTCAAGCACTGCTCCCCGGGCGCTGACCACGGCTGCCCACTGTTCACTTGGTGATGGGTTAAATACAGAGGATAAATTTCGTTGTGCATGGTGTGCTGTGCTGTGCTGTGTCACAATGACAAAATAAAATAAAAGATAAAGAATATAAGAAATTAGAGGAATACTACATTACACTGTATGAATACTGTGTGAACAGTACTGCAAACCAGCTACAGTAACAGCAAAAGTCCATTTGTTTACAAGTCAAGTTTTTAGTTCATCCCAAAAAAATCATAGTCATACATTTGTATTGGATATGCTGCAGAGTCTACAACATGTATATTTTGTGATAAAATGTACTGGTGTCTTTCATATTTTAAAAGTTTTTAAAAAGCGAAGGTTTTTTTTATGCCTAAAGTCAATGATTTCTGTTTCTGCTTTTTGTCTCAGAGATTGGCCGAGGCAGCTGAAGACGCTGACCTGTACCATGACTTCAATGCTACTTTAGCGGTTGGTTCACTGCTGCTTAGTATTGTTATTATCAATATGCTTATTAATGGAATTGTTATTCTTATTTCTAAACAAAGTACTCTGTACATTGTTTAAGAGCTGTTTGAATGGTTTAAAATATGATTTTATTTCTAGTCATTGTTCATCAGACCAATCTTTTCTCCAGCATTTTTTTAATAAGATTAATGTTCATAAAAAATCAGATTAATCCTTCTGACCCCAGAACATTTGGATTTCCACTCTGTGTCTTTTCTCAGTTCGATTACTACAACTCCATGATGATCAACTCTCCAGACGAGGATGGAAACTACCCTGAACTCGGTGGGGAGTTCCCGCTGGAGGAGAACGAACATTTTAACAACCTGCCGGTGAACACGCAGCAAAGTGACATCCAGGTCCCCACCAACGTCTACAACAAAGGTCAGAGGTCATCATAAATCATACATCATCACAACATGACAGTTCTAGTTTCACCTTCATTTTTTTTTCTTTTTCTATGTTCAGAACCTGCCATTCTTAATGCCATCTACAATTCAGAGGCTTTAAATGACGTCTTCATCAACAACTTCCTGAAGGATCCCACACTCACATGGCAGTACTTTGGCAGCTCCACTGGCTTCTTCAGGATCTACCCTGGTTGGTTAAAGTCCATTGTTGTAGAAAAAATTTCCTGAAGAAAAGTGATTTGGGGAAATATATTTATAAAATCATAAAATCAAATATTCTGCAGTGATTCACAGAAGCCTTAATTCCAGGTATTAAATGGACTCCTGACGCCAACGGTGTAGCAGCGTTTGACTGCAGGAACAGAAACTGGTGAGTTAAAGTCTTGATTTAATTTTAATTGTCTCTGTGTTTAATGTTTGGGCTCAATATTACTTCAACATTTATACATTTCTATTGCCTATAACTACAGAACATTTAAGGTGGAACTTTTGAAGCCCCTCCTTGGGGTTTTATTAAGGTCTCCAAAGTGCTGGCTGTGTGTTGACTGAGCATGGTCCAGCCAGAGTCCTGATCCCCTGGAAAAGTCGATAAGCTGTTCCTCAGGCCAGTCAGTGAAGCCCACATGGCACCATATGTGACTGTTCATGCATTTCTAAATAATACCACAGACCTGCATATGTCTCTGCACGCCTTGTCATGACACTGAGCTGCCAGAGCTGCTGCAGGCATCTGCAGAGCTAGCTAACTGGAATGCTATGAAATGTTTGTTTGCTTCTATAAACAGTAAAGTACCTGCCAAGCCTGGTTCAAAGCCTGGAATCAACCCACATGTCCTCAATGATGAAATAAGAGAATATCTGCAATGTTGGCACTGAGGACATTAGAATTGAAAAGATACATAACCAGACAACTATTTAAGTTTTTTAAAATATTGTCTTTAAATATTTTGGTATTTTTACTACTGTTATTTGACCACAGTAATCCCCTTTTAATGAATCCAAAGACACAAAACTTTAATCAGATTTTTTATTTTTTTTACCCAGGCAAATAGACAAGTTCTTTTAAAAACATGTCCTCTCTGTGTCGTGTTGCGTTCAGGTACATCCAGGCAGCCACGTCCCCTAAAGACATCATTATCATGGTGGACATCAGCGGCAGCATGAAGGGTCTGAAGATGACCATCGCCAAACACACCATCAACACCATTCTGGACACACTGGGCGAGAACGACTTTGTCAACGTCATCGCTGTAAGAAAGCACAGACAGGCACTAACTCTAAAGGGACAGTTCAAGGATTTCACCATGACACAGTTCGACAGGCATTGATTACTTCATCCTTGTCCCGCAGTACACTGACTATATCCGTTATGTGGAGCCATGTTTCAGAGGGACACTGGTCCAGGCCGACTTGGACAACAGAGAGGTAAGAACATTATCTGCTTCACTTTGGCTTAGAGAAAAAAAAAGCTAATGATGAGTCTTAGCAGACACCCAACCTCCCGTCACCCTCAACACACACACACGCACACATACTAACACACACATACAACCACTTACAGCAAGACTCTCATTATCACATTAACCTCTTGGCCTAATTCCTTCAGTGACATGTAGAACACAACACAAGTCAGAAGGAACTATGTGCAGCAACGTCTCTCTGTCAGCCTGTTCACACATTCTTTATTAAAGTGTTAATATTAAGACATATATATATACATATATATATATATTTGATATATATAATATACCTGCATCTGTTTACTTGTGTCTGTGTCTGCAGCATTTTAAGATGCTGGTGGAGGAGCTGCACGTCAAAGGTGAAGCAAAGATCAAGAACGCCATGAAGGAAGCTTTCAAAATCCTCAATGAGGTCTGTGGCCTGCCGAACTGAAGGAGGAGAGTTTGTACTCCAATCACTGGTCTTGGTCTGCATTCAGTTCGTGTTGTGTGTTTTTGTGTGCAGGCCAGAGTGAACGGTCAGGGCAGCATGTGTAACCAGGCCATCATGCTGATCACAGACGGAGCCATGGAGGATTTTGAGTCTGTCTTTGAGGAGTTTAACTGGCCTGAGCGCAGGGTGAGCACGGCGGCAGACGTCACTAATCTCTGACCTACAGCCAAACTGATGAAGGAAGCAACACTGGGGTGCAGATGTTTTGGGTTAATGAAATATAATAATACTATAGCTGAGAATTTACTAAAAAAAACTCCTGTTAAGTTGAAGACAACGCTGATATGCTTTTTTTTAGTTTTAATAAACATCTGCTGCCACCTAGCAGAAGAGGATTTAATTAAATAATTTTCCACAGCTCATGGCACACTAGTGTGCCACGGCACAGAGGTTGGGAATCACTGCTCTAAAAGACTCAAAGTGACCCAGCTCTGAGTGGAAACAATGAGTGATAACCGTACATATTAAAACAAAGCCGCCCTCTTACTCTGAGCTAATGTAAACAAGTGACTTTGGTGGTTCCCCCGCTCCAGCCTGCAGCTGTCTCCTCTGTTTGATTCTCATGTTAGACGGCTGAGTTAGGGCACAGCTGTGTGGACCGGCGGAGCTGAGTGAACGTCAGCAAACCCCAGATCAAACTCTGGCAGAAAATCTGAATCAAGAAATCAGACATGCAGCTTTACAGGACGCTGTGCCCATGTGGACCACTCCTGTCAGCGATGCAGCAAAGAATAGATGACAACCTGAGAGCAGCCTATACAGAAAAAGAAAAACATTGCACATATGTCTTCAAACAGATGTGGGATTTAATAAAAGAAAAAAAAAAGTCCACGCTCCTGGGTCAAGTTTAATCCAGTTTTTTTTGTGTGTTAAGGTGAGAGTCTTCACTTATTTAATAGGCAGAGAGATGACCTTCGCCCAGAACACCAAGTGGATCGCCTGCAACAATAAAGGTCAGGGAGCTGTGTGTCTGTGTGTGTGTGTGTGTTTAGTATATCCATGATTAATTGTTGCTAGTACAACACGTTCTTGTGGAGGTATATTTCTCCCGACAGTCCCAACTGAGTGTGCGAGTATTTTAAGAGTTGAGATTGAATTTGGAGTTAGGAGATTAAAATTTGGGTCAGATTATAGTGAGTGTATTATTAACAGATAGAGCACTCACAGCCCACAAAACTAAATAACTAGTGTGTGTGAGTGTATATGTATGTACATGTTTATAATGACTTGTGTCCTCCTCAGGTTACTACACCCATATCTCCACACTGGCTGATGTGCAGGAGAATGTGATGGAGTATCTGCATGTGCTGAGTCGGCCAATGGTCATCAACCACGACCATGACATCATCTGGACGGAGGCCTACATGGACACTGTGGTTAGTCACAGCAGGACACCTGCTCACCTCAGCCGTCTAGCTCAAAGCTACATTTTATTTATTACACTTGATAACATTACTCATCTTCATCTCAATCATCTTGTCATTTTTGATGTTTTCTGTGTCTGTCCTTGTGCGTCATCTCATTCTACCCATGATCCTCTGGGAATTGTCATCCATCATTCTAAATCCATCTAAAGCTCCCTACCACCAAGGAGGTAAACACAAAGAAATTGCACTTTGAGACCATGTTAGAGCTGCGACCTGAACTTTGACTTGGAGTTTTTAAATGTTCTGACCCTATGTGACCATTAGATGGCAGTGCTAGCCTTTTCCTCAGAAAATGGCCTGTGATTGGCTGCTGTGATTCTATGATGCCATGTGAATATTAAATTATTATCTTGTCTTATCAAAATAAATGTTCCGTCTCTCCCTCAGCTCTTCACCACTAAGGCCCAGAGTCTGCTGCTGATGACCTCCGTGGCCATGCCAGTCTTCAGCAAGAAGAAGGAAACGGTCAGTCTATAAGAACAACTCTGCAGCATGACTCTGTGACTATGATGATTGTATTGATCGTGGACATTTAATGTGTGTGCATCATGCAAGGTTACTACATTAGCCTTATTAAAATTTAATATAAAATATATATAATCTATTAAAGTGAGCTAATCTGTTAGCTACTGCTAACCCAATCCCGTCCCATCCATGCAGCTGTCCCATGGGATCCTGCTGGGTGTAGTTGGCACAGACATCCCACTGCTGGAAGTGATGAAACTGGCGCCCAGATATATGGTGAGAACAGTTTGATTTGTAGTAATTTTTTGTGCCATGTTTTATACAAAAATACAATTTTAAAAAAGTAACATACTTAACATTTGCTCCTGTCAGTTGGGAGCACATGGATATGCCTTCCTCATTACCAACAACGGTTACATCTTGGCTCACCCTGACCTTCGACCTCTGGTGAGTTCTGCCCTGGATTATTTTTGCCATTTAAGTTTTACAATAAAAGTCTTCAGAGAAGAGAAGAAAATAAAAGCGTCTCATTCAGAGTCATATTCTTTCCTACAGTATAAAGATGGGAAGAAATTGAAGCCTAAGCCAAATTACAACAGTGTGGATCTGTCGGAGGTGGAGTGGGAGGACACAGATGAGACGGTGAACACACACACACAACACATGAATGAACAATCAAACAAATAAAATCTGTCCACTTAATCTTATTAGTTTTACATCAAACACATTCAGTTTGGTAGATGTACTTATTAGTTTTACATCAAACCATCAAACACATTCAGTTTGGTAGATGTAGTATTTGAAAGCATCTTTATAAATGTATAAAATCTCTTTAAAATGGTCAGTTATATAAAACAGAACTGGTCAACAGTCTATAGGTTGTTGTGTGGACTAAATGTTTCTTCCTCCGCCTGCAGCTGAGAACAGCCATGGTGAGAGGAGAGACCGGCAGCTTAACGATCAACATCAGAGCGTCCGTGGACAAAGGGGTGAGGAAGCCCAATTATGGTCAAGTGAGCCGCTGGTTTTAATGAGTCACCTTTGAACAGTGGACAGAGGAGGTGAAGCCTGGGGTCCAGGCAGAACGATGTGGGTGGAAACAACAGTTGAGGATGATGAAAACTAAAGTTTACACAAGACAGTAGTGAGACCAGCTGTTGAAGAGATGTGAGGCTGAGCTGGAGGTGGAAATGTTGAGGTTTTCATGGGTATTGACCAGAGTTGAGGATTAAAATTGAGCGACTGAGTCTGAGTCGGCTGTAAAAAAAAAAAAAGTTAGAGACAAAGGTTGGGCTAAGGAGAGAAAGTAGAAAAGGAAGTCCTTACAGAAAAGTCAAGGTGGCTCATTAGAAACTAGAGCTTCCTTCCTGTGTGGTTATTATTATTCAGCTGAATGTTTAATCATGTTCCTGCATTTTCCAGAAAAGACCTCTTTACCTGATCAATGACTATTTCTACACCAACATTGATGAGACACCTTTCAGGTAAATCAACCTGATTCTCTTTAAAACTGCTTAAGTTTGTCTTCATTTCGTCCCGTGAACTGCACTATTGAGACGTGTCTATATAATTTAGCCACTAGAGGGCAGTATGTAATCACCTCCTTCTTTTGTCTCTGTAGCTTTGGAATGGTGCTGACAAAAGGTCACGGAAAGGTGTTATTTCGAGGAAATGTGTCTGTGGAGGAAGGTAGCCCTTATTATTATTATTATTATTATTATTATTATTATTATTATTATACACACACAGCTGATTATACACAGATATTTTATATTTATTTAAAAAAAAATTTTTTATTTTCTTTCTTCTGCAGGACTGCATGATCTCACCTCACCTGATGTGAGCATTGCTGCTGAGTGGTACGTCTGAAAACATGAGGCCAAAAAATGAATGTGTTATGTTGTGTCAAACAAAAACAAAATCTAAATTGCAATTTACAAGGCTATTAATATGGATAAAAGTGAGGATTTGTGTCTAATTTTCTATGCGTGTGTAAATTTGTTTTTCCAAATATTTCTTTCCTCAGGACTTACTGTGAGACAGACATTGACCCTGCACATCGGAAACACACACAGCTTCAGGCTGCGGTTCGATATCTGTTGGGGAAGGACCCTGAACTAGAATGTGTGTTTTCACAATATATACACTTAATGGACTTGTATTTCTATTATTAAAAATAATAATTACCTGAAATATGGTCATGATCTAGTACTAAGTGTGCATTTGACCTGTTGTGTAGGTGACGAGGTGTTACTGCAGCAGATGCTGTTTGATGCCGTGGTCACTGCTCCCCTGGAGGCCTATTGGAACGCCCTGATGCTAAATGACAGGTCACCTGACAGAACATCCAGACCAGAGTGTTGTTTCTGTTTACAAGGAAACTTAGAGGTTTTTCTCTGGTCCTGTCTTATTTTCCTTTTCTTTTCTTTTTTTTTCTTGCAGGGTGGAACCTGGAGCTGAGACAGCTTTTCTTGGCACTCGTTCCGGTCTGATGAGAATCATCCGATATGCAGGGATGGAGACCAGAGTGGCAAAGTCAGTTTGAAAATATACTCTGTTAGCTCATTTAAGCAGTTAAAGCAATTATGTCCAAAATTAAAGGAAGTAATAAGACAAAAATAAAGAGGAATAAAGGACAAATCTGTTAAATATGGTTAAAAATGATCAAAATGTATTCTGTATATGGGGGAAAGGTGCTCAAAATTTTAATAATTTGGCAAAAGCGAACAAATTTGACATCACATTATAATATGAGAAAGATGAACTAAGTTAAAGAACTATCTCAGAAACAACAACTTGTTGACAACAAGAAGCAAAAAAGTCCTGATCTGATTTTGATGCCCAGGTTGCCATAGGTTCCCATAGATTTAAAAGTAAATCCAACTTCTGCCACACAGAAAGTTCCTGACTGCATCGGACAAAGACAACCTGTTCACCATGGATCACTTCCCTCTGTGGTACCGTCTGGCTGTGGAAAACACTCCTGGAAGTTTCTACTACTACATCGTTAATGACAAAGGTCTGTCCCGCATCATTCCTGTAGAATCTAAAACACATTCCTCTGGGTGTGAGATAAACTGAAAACACGTAGAAACTGATGGTTTTTGTTTTTTTTTTCATTTTTCTTGGTCAGGAGTCAAGTACATAATTGCAACAACCTCTGTGACGGTGTCTTCTAAAGGAAAGACGGCTGTGGCAGGAGGTAAGTGGCCCTGCTGCACCTTTTATAAGAGTAAAATCAGAAACTAAGAATGAAATCAATATTCTTTTATGGGCTACTTCTGTGACATTGAAAGGGCTTATTATGTTGGCCACAGGGGGGCGTAGAGGCTAACAACGTTATTATACCTTAAACTTTTCAGTTTACCATAACTTTTCAGAGTTGAATGACAATATTGTATATGGCCTCTTGGCCAATAGACTTGGATTTAGTTTTCCTATGTGCCTGGATGGATGGATGGATGGGTGGATGGATGGATGGATGGATGGATGGATGGATGGATCTATGGATCTACACTATGTGTCATCCACCTGCGTTGTGTTGTGATTGGAGGATACAGCTTGAGCTTCTCGTGTAAACCACAGTTTTAAGCTCATTGTTGAGATGGAGAAACATCTGATCTACATCTGACAGATGAGACGTGGGGCAGGGAAAAAAATATGTTGATGTTGATTATTTGGAATTTTCACTATATTGTGTGCAAGGCTCTGGAATGGTTTGGATCTGCATTTCAGCTTGTGGAGTGAGAGGCGTTAAATGCTTGTGGCTTAGCAGTGTTATATTATAAACGAACACACATTGACGGTCCTAATGTGTTTGAATACAGTTCAGAATTACATCATTACCGATTCTTAACCCATGAGAACTGTGATGTAATAATGGAAGGAAACAAATCATATTAAATAAATATAGAGTTTATTATTTCATCCTTGAGTTAACTGATGCCATACTTCTGATTCACAGAAATATGGACCATCCTCAAACAGCAGTGAACACTGACAGTAGTTGTGTAGACTGACGGTCTCATTTGTTCTATAGCATGGGTTTTCCCACTAACATCTCTTACTTTGATATTATTGGCTGTTGCATTGAGTTTCTGGGTTTGTGCTTGATATGAAACTATTGTAGCTCAGGCCCTGTCCTCCAGGAGGCAGTAGAGGGCTAGTAGTTCTATAAATGAGTCTATCACTTGAGGCTTGAAGCAGCAATTCCTTGACAGCAGCAGATTCTGACATGATTAAAAATGTCTATTTCGGGACAGAGTTCAACAGCGTCCTCTAGCGTTTGAACACAGTATGTTAAAGTAAAACGTACATGCAACTTCCTAAGGGTGTTCTTCAGACAACAGACAACTGTTTCTTATTCCTAAAGGGAAAAAAACAAAAACAAACAGACGTTTGAAGGAAAGTCAAGGTGCAAAGTGCCAAACTGCGGCTCCAGAGGAGTTTAAAAGCTGGCTGAGAGACGCAGCACAGGGAGTAACAATTCACAGAGCTTCCATACATTAAAAGACAAGCTGCAGCTTTCTAGTTCTACTGAGTCTAGTCCAGTTTTTCTTTCCCTGTAGCATAATCAGTTGCTCATGGAGATTTTCAGCACAAAGCCAGAGCAGCAGGGTTTCTCTCTCCAAATGCCTCATCAGTGATAAGGAATCAGGCAGCAGGGGCAGCCAGATTGTTCTGGAAGGAATTGTGTCAGAAGCTACTGATGCGATAGCCATGCACGACACCATAGGCCTCTTTGGGTGGTGTCTGCTCCGGTGAGGTCAGGGACGTCAGGGATGTCAGTTGTCCGTCCTCTTGGTCTGTCTCTGCTCCGCACTCGGCCATCAGCGGCTGACCGCGGCTCTTCATCTCCCTCTGGTACCGTGCCATCAGTGAGGCGTAGGCACAGCCATAAGTCGCTGCAACCACCATGAGAACACACACCGTGCCACAAACAACACCCACAACAATCTGTGTGCCATGTGCCCGACGGACGCTCACGGGCCTGTAACGCTGTCGAACACATTCCTCGCTGCCGCCTCCACGGGCAGATGGGCAGGAGGACCGGGTGGCGTGACCCGACCCACCCTCCTTCTTTGGACTGTGCATGCAATGGCTGAACATCTCTGCGGGAATGCTGCGGATATCCCTGCCCTTCACATCAGCTGGGAGGCTGCACCACATGGCGTCTACTTGTCCATCTGCAAAACAGAGAGGAGAGAGGGGGAGGGAGGAGGGAGGGAGGGTGAGAAATGAGAGATAGACTGTATAAGTTGGTACAGTTATGCATAACATATGCATGCATTAATATATAAACACACACATTAGATTAGTTATATACCTACAAAGATCTTAAACAGCTATGATTGTTTTTTTTAGTCTCCTAGCCTTTTAGTCTGCTGCCGCCTAGTGAAGAAAATGTTATTGTTCTACCTATCACGCATAGACAAACAAAAAATTGCTATAAATAAATAATAGTTTTGGACCAAATAATTGAGATTTGATCAATTTCCACGGCACATCTAGTGATCTCTCACGACACAGTGGTTGGGAATCACTGGCCTATTTCTTCATATATTTTAGACTCCTAATAAAAACCCTCAAAGTTGAAGGTCACCTGTATTTTTTTGTGATATTGACGGGTTTATAGTTCAGTTTCGCTCACCCCTGAATATTAACCACTCCATCCAGTACTTGAAGTCTCTTAGTTTGCAGTCACACTCCCAGGGGTTTCCAATGAGCTGCAGGTGCTGAAGATGCACCAGAGGCTCAAAGGTCACTCTGTCCAGAGCCACGAGCTGGTTCTTGGTCAACGACAGCCAGTTGAGCCTCTGGAGCCCATCTAGTAAGCCCTTTGGCAGCCAGGGGAGGCCATTAGAAGACAAGTCAAGCACCTGCAGCTGCCACAAACCCTTGAAAATGTCTTTGCTCAATCCCTGACTTGCGTTGGAGCCCTGTGCTGCATCTGCGTTGTCGTTGGCCTCAGATGTTGCCAAATGTACTCCGAGGTAGTTTGAGGAAAGGTTGAGCCAACGTAGGCCGCTCAAGCCTGAGAAGACACCAGACTGCAGCGAGGAAAAATGGTTCTGGGAAATATCCAGGAGCTCCAGGCTGCTCAGGTTGGACAGTCCTGTCTTGCCAAGAGAGGAAATGTTGTTCTGCGATAGGCGCAGAAAAACAGTGTCCTGGTTCAACAGAGCTAGGATAGGTGCCAGAGAGAGAAGTCCAAGGGAAGAGCAGTCGGTTGTGTTGCCGTAACAGGTGCAGATGCCAGGACAGCTGTGCACGGAACCCAACAGACGGAGCAGAACCAGCACCAGAGTGGAGAGAGCTGGAACGGAAGGGAAGATGAACAGAGATTCAAATCAAACATGTTACAGGGAACAAGATAGTGTATTTGGAACATTTGATTATTTTAGTTTATTTACCATATTTTTGCACTTTTTTTCATCCTTGGCTGGGTTTGTGACTTATATATTAAAATATATAAGTTTACCTGTTCGTTATTTTCACACTGACTGCCACTAGAGGGCACTCTAGGCTTTTGTATCTGTATCTGCTACTTCTGTAAGTTGCACTTTTTTAAGTAAGTTTTCACCTTTTATTAACCGGGGAATATTTCTGCAGAATGTTTTTTTAACTGATGGAAGTTTGCATTCCTATTTTTGAAAAAACCTCTCAGTCTAGCACTCTAGTACTTTATGTTCCATCTTCACTGCTGTGAGCAGGAGTTAACTCAATATTTACGCGTCCATTTGTTCTATTGTCTCTCACAGCTGTGTTTCTGCCAGAAAGAAACTCAATAGTTGATTGATTTAAGAGCTTTTTCTGGATGATTAGGATATAGAGTTTTTTTTACAGAGTGAACTGTGTACTTTAATAGTCAAAATGTGGGAGTATTTTTTTAAAACGCTACAAGTGGAGTTTCACTGATAAGAGAGAAATACTGTGATTTACAACATTGGAGTTGAAAAGAATACCTACAGTGAGAAGGAGTAAGACGGCGTCCAAGCTCACGCAGACTCTCCATGTCCGCTGCAGCCTCAGGCCGACATCTGGCTGTCCGTGCTCACGGCCAGGAGACTGCAACGTATAGCTGTGGCTTCCTACGACACATAAAACACAGAAACGATTTATCTTTGTTTAGAAAGAAATGTTGGTTGTAGAAACATTAAAAAAAGGCTGCAAAGACTAAAATCTCAGCCTGTTTAGTTGAAGACAGTGCTGATATACTGGCAGGAATTGAAGAAAGACACTCACAAATATCTTATCAACAGCTCTGATTCTCTTTTTTTTAGTTTTCATAGCCGTCCGCTGCCACCTAGCAGAAGAGTGTATAATCGTTCTGCCTTTCATGCTTTGACGAGCAAAGAAAAATAATATGCAATGAATAAATAATAGTTTTCAGCCCAATTATGTTAAATTAGTTAATTTTCCACAGCACACCTGATGATCTCTCACGGCACACCTGTGGGCCACGGCTCAGTGGTTGGGAATCACTGAGTATGTAATCATTTTGATTGTTTGCTAAGATTTGTCTCCCATTTACAAATAACGTGGACGTGTATTTTAAACGTCCAGTCGACTGGATGTACTCCACTCGTCTCTGATCCATCACAGAGGATAATCTTGGTGCAGTTTTCTTTAGATTTACTTTGCTCTCTTGCAGCTCCAACATGTCACGCTTTCACACTTCACATCTGCTCTGCAATTCATGCTGATAATTTCTTTCTCTCTTTTTTTTTTCCATAAGCCTGTTCCTCCAACCTCTCAGCTGCCGGGGAGAGTGCACCTTAATTAGTGGGATTATGCAGAGTACATGGAAAGTGCAGATTGAAACGCATCAAAAGCTTAAGTTCTTTGCCGAACGGCCGGACAATATATTTGCTTCACACTCCAGGATTTAACAGCTTTTTTTTTATTTCTCATTCACGTTTTCTCTCACACAGGGAGCTTCATGATAAGGTGAAATCATCTTCTGTATTTTTTCATCCAGCAGCACTGAAGAAAAGTCAATGCCAATTTCTGTTTTTCCAAACACCCACACGCAGTTCCTGTTCACTGCAGAAACAGTAGAGCATCAGCAGTCTGTAGCATGTACAGAACGATCAGCAAAAGGCTTTGGTCTTTAATTTTCCTCCGGATATTTCTGTCAGTTCCTGGTACTTGTGCATGCAGAGGAAGTTTGCACGAGAGATAAAGCTGCAGAGAAAGAGGGAAAGTGTCGTCACTCCATCAGCACTCTGTTGCTTCTATGAAGCTAGATAAACGCAGCCTCAAGGTCTTTCTTTTGTTGCAGGTCTTTCTTTTGTCACGTTGGCATAAAAATGCCAGTCACTCTGCAGTGATCTGCAGGAGGCGCCACTGACATTTAGGCCCAGGACTCATTTCACTGCAGGTGGATGTTGGAGGACACGTGCGGAGAAGCACATGTGATTACCAAAGAATATTTTTATTGCCTAAGACAAACAGGAGAACAGAAATGAGAGCATCCCTTACCTCCCAGAGGATGTTCACACAGAATCCTCTGCAGGGTTAGTGAAAAGACACAGTTTAGTGCTGGTGCTCCAGCTATTCAGAGACACCTCTCACCCTCTCTACAGTCACATGGAGCATCAGCTGATTCACTGATTCACAGTCAGAAATATAATTTCAAAATGTCAACCTGAACGTATTGATTTTAAGTGAAACAGCTGAATGCATTTGTGCTGTGTACAAAATTAGTAAAAGACCTCATAAATAAAAGGCTTAAATGTAATTATCATATACAATATAAATAAAATGGAATATGATCAATTAAAGGCGTAGGACAAAACTAAAAATATAACATTCAAAAAAATAATAATCCAATAAAATCAATGTGTCAAGATTTAACAAAAGCCCGGTCTCCTCTTAGCTAGACTCAGATCTTGAATTATTTAACTGAACGATGTAAAAACATGTCTTCCTGGCTGAAATGAACCCAACCACCTGGTTTAGATACACTCACTTTTTTGGGGGAGAGTTAAAATGAGGATTTTAGCTGCAGTAAGTGTAAAACAACAAAACATCTCTGATCTTTTCTCTGTGAATTCTGCAGCAGTTCTTTTTGTTCTTATTGAGTTTGTATTTTCTGATGCCAGTGACCTTGTGACGTTAGTGTTTTTAGCTTAGTAATCATGTCATTAGTGCTGATGAGATTTTTATTGTCTGTGAAATGTTTTGGCGACGCCAATGTCAGTGTTCTCCTGTGTATTATTTTGCTGTTGTTGTTGATGAAGTTGTTCTGGGGGATATGGAAGTAAAAGGTGAGCGGAAGGCGCCGTGTAAAGATGATGTTGTCGCTGTTGTTTAGTTTTTGAGAACTATATGACTTGAAGCCCAGATCAGACCTGACAGCTGTTGGACACATTAGATCGACCACTGCCGCCTGTAAGAGGATGAACAGGGACGTGATTTAACGTTGGCCCTTCGTCTGATGAACAAAACACTAGATGTAGGGCTTGGCTGTTTCACCCTCTGTTTATCAAGTGCTGAAGTCACTCCTCTCTTGTTTTTAACTAGACAGCATCTCTCTCTCTCTCTCTCTCTCTCTCTCTCTCTCTCTCTCTGTCTGTCTCTCTCTCTGCATCATCCGTCTATTGCTCTCTTCACGTCAAAATGTCTGTGTTTTCTTCAGCCTTGTGAGATTGAAGAACACCAGTGAAGCGATTAAGTGCTACATAACACTTAGCTTTACCTTGTAGTTAAGACCATTTTTTTGGTCAAATGCGTTAGACTTACGCTTTTTTTATGTCCTTCAAACTTTAACAAACTTGGCACAGAACCTGAACCTCAGAACGTTTAAAAAGTCAGAAGGCCGCGGTCATACAGACGATCAAAAAAGAGAGCTTGCAGATTAAAAATGTGGCTTTAATTCATGTGGGACAGATGGTATCAGAACAACTCCGCCCCCCCATCTACCACCTGGGCTCACACAGATGAGAACATATAGAGCGCTGTATATTTATGACTGCGTGATCGTCACACATTTGCGTGGCCTTTCATTTCATCTGTCAATCATCCTGCTGATGTTCAGCATCACCGGCCTCTTGAAAACCTTCTTAAGTGAAGCAGAGATCATGTCTCTAATCCATAAAACCATAATCCAACGAAATGACGTTACGTTACAGCTTTACATCTGCTTTTAAACGCAAAACTGAACTCAACTAAATAGAAACGTAATAACAGTTTTTTCCCTTTTAATGATTAAAAACATTTATATATTTTTTTCTATTTGTAGAACGCGTTGTCATTTTTAGAGACATTTTTGATTTACTCCAAGTCTTCTGACAAAATTATACTTTAGTCTTAGTCTCAGTTCAGTTAAAAATACTTTAGTCTTAGTCTCAGTTCAGTTAATTCAACAGAAAATCAAAACATTCTCGTCAACAATTTGTTATTTCACATAAGGTTGAGCGAAATTTAAGCAAAGTAGCCCCCACCCCCAAAAAAAAAACTTGGTGTTGTCTGTTGTTGGGGTCAGTGATTAATAATTTAACCTGTTGCCGCTGCTTTTATTACCAGTTATTACAGACAGTTCATGGGTTCGTGTCCCATACTGTGCACCCAGAGGTCATCGGTTTCTGCCCACTGCATCATGACAAAGTGTAGACAGAGAGTTTTGCCGCTTGAGTCACTTCAAGTCCTGCAGCCATGGCATTTCTTGCGTGCTTTATCTCAGCTGCATTGTTCTGCTTCCCTGGGCTGTAGCCTGCTCCCTGCTGGCTGCCTAATGGCCTCTGACAGTCTGCTTCTTCCCCCCTGTGGCTACACTTTCCTCCCAACAAGGCAGCGTTGGTTCCAAAAGGGCAGGAGCACAAACACACTGCAGCATCCACACACAGGCAGGCTTAACAAATCATCAACACACACACACACACACACACGTACATATGTATATTTATTAACTCATGCGTTCCTTAAGACCGCCTCTCAGGAAAATCACTAATGCTTTTATTTGGTGAGGTGAGATCAGACTTGGTAGGGAGTTCAACTTTCACACAGAAAAAACAGCTCCAAACTTTTTGTCTCCAGATAACCAAGATTTGGAATTATTGTTCAAATGTAACAGTAAAAACAGCTAAAAAACTTTGCTCAAAATATCATTACAAGTAAATTGCAACATGGAGAGCTTTCTGAAAAAAGATGCAGTTCACAAAACCTCAGTGTTTGTGTATTAGAGTGTTTTCTGTCACTGATGGATATGAAACCATATCTGTACATTTTCAGAGAAATTATGCAATTTTGTTGATAATCTCAAAACGATGAGTCCATATTTTGTCTGCAATATATAAATATATATAATTTTGGACACTAAATTTCTGTTTAAAGTGAATGCTAAATACAGATCAGAACATTAAATTTAAAGTGAATGCTAAATACAGATCAGATAACAGAAACCTTAAATAGGTGTAAAAGACTGTCAACTATGAATATATATCTTATAAATCTTTAACATTTTCAATGTTTATCTCAGGTTCAGGCTGTTTAACTTCTCTGTTCAGTTTGACCTGTAGGAGGACGTCTGTGACTGTGGCTTTGACACTTACAGAGAATCAGGAAGAAATGTTCCTGATGTAACGTGTTCTAGTATTAATTAAGTAATTAATATTTAACATGAAGCAGTGGAAGAGTATGAGTCTGGGAGTCTGTCTTTAATTTCTAATCCAGCTGCATTCCTTTTTCTAATCCCAACCGTGATAAAAACTGGATGGAAATAAAGCAGAAAACGGACAAAAGTCACGTGCTGATTAAAAACTGTGAACCAATAACGTCACTAATTCATGAACAACGGGGATTTAAGTTTGAAATTGTTTATTAGATTCAGGTATTCAGGTGTCATTTAGCCTGAATTAGGTCTGACCACTTGATGCACACACACACACACAGAGAGAGACACAGAACACTCACCATCTTCTCTACTGCTTCATCCTCCAAACAGAGTCAGACCAAGGAAACTGTACTTCCTCTCCAGACGCAGCATTTCAGATTCAATCGCAAAATCAGGATCAGGGAAACAGCTTCCAGATCTTGACTCCGAGAACCGGAGCTGATCTCAGACCAGGTCTTTGTTTCAGGATCAAATGTTTCTCCTCTTCATCCACATCCTGCATCCTCTTAGAGCAGTCAAACACACACCCAGGCAGTGTGTAAGGGCGAGCGAGCCCCTGTGAGTGAGTTTGAGAGAGAGAGAGAGGAGGGAGAGGGAGGGAGAGGGAGGGACAGAGCTAACGAAGCCACATGCTGCTGCTGCTGCTGGTGGTGGTTCTGGGTGTGGCGGTGGGGGGTGTGGACGAGGGCGATGATGATGATGATGATGCTGATGTGTGTGTGTTGTGTATCCTTCATCCTCTTTGTGTTGTTCAGACTGTATACTGTATATTTAAGCACTTGAACCAGAATAGTAATGGCTGAGTGTTACAGCTGCAGCTGCTCTCAATGAAGGCACGGTGGGGTGGATGGGGGGGGGGGGGGGGGCGGTAAAGAGGAGATGCTAAAATTAGATATTTGTTTGTAATATATTTATTTATTGTAAGGTTGGCTATTTTTCAATGCAACCAAATGGCGGTCTTGGTCGTTAATGCTGCCACCTCGTGGTGTAATGGAAATACTGCAGTTCTATTTCGTCGTTTTTAAGGAATCCCCTGAGATAAAGTGCTTTGCAGCAGCAGATGCAGTGTGGACATGAAGTGAAGGACGATCTGTTTCAAACACTCGGTCAGGACTCACAGATGCATCATAGGGCATTTTTCCTACGTCATTGTTTGTCATTATTATCTGCCATGCTTGCATTTTTACACTGGGGAAAAATTAGGGATAAATGTATGGTCAGGAAAAAAACTAAAAAATATATAATTTTTAAGTATTTTCCATGTGTTTTGATGCAACATTTGTGACTTAAAACACCAACAGATTTTAAAGTGAAAGCTTTACTTTAAACACAAAACGTGTTATTTCCCCTCTGTAGAACAAATACAGAAAATATTGCATCAAAAAAAAATCTTTATCTCTCTCTGCGAAAAATAGTTGTAAAACTTCCAACTTCATTTAACTGCAATGGCTCTCTCCCTCCTTTGCACCAGCTTCGCCCCCTACTTTGAAAACCACAGTTGTAGGTTACATTAAAAAAAACATCAAATTTGCCTAGTTTAGGGCAACCTGAGAAAATATGATGCTGATTGATTTGGTCAGATTAGACAAAATTACAATTTTTTGAAAATGTATTTTTGTCAATATATTTGTTATGGAGTAAAAAGGAGAGGATAGAACCCAAAGAACCCTGTCCTGTGTTTTTTTAAGCTGAGAGAACTGAGAACTGAGAACAGATCATTGACTGTTAGAACTTTGAAAGTAAAAAAAACATTTTAACAGCCAGTAGTATAAAACGTAATAAAGTGACACGGCAGAAGCCAAAGATTCCCAAGAGCAAAATAAAGTATATGTAAAGTTTGCGTTCTGGCGGAAATGTACAAATAGTAATAGTGTGTTCTGTCTCCTTGGTGGATTTGTCCTCACAGACTGCAGCAAAAAGTGTGTCGCTGCAGTGATGAGGACAGGAGAGGAGGAAACGGCAGAGAAATGAAATGAAACACAGAAAAGTCTACAGACTGGTGATCCTGCAGCAAAGAGTCTTAAACGACCAACCCACAGATCACGACTGTCTCAGATACAAATGCGACCTCTCCGTTTATTTCGTCTTCTTCTTTTCACTTTTCATCTGGGCTGCAGCCAGGGGTCACTGTTCTCAGTGTAGCTATTCATTTGTCTTGCCTTCTGGGTTGACTGGACAATGCTGAGTATAGAAATATTTTTAAAAAATATTTTGCCAAACATTTCTTATATATAGTCTATAGGGGGCCTACTCACATGCTGGGTCGGTTTTGGGGCGCCTACTCACATGCTGGGTCGGTTTTGGTCCGAAAGTAACCCCCAAAGTTGCCCCGGCATGAATCCCAGGTGACTTGGACTTGGTTCAGGCACTTTAAATTTACTTTTGTTCTTTATTTCACAAGAAAAAGAGAATATTGTTGAATATTTGCACTTTTTTTTACTGCTGCAGCAACACAGGACAGATCGCTGTGAGTGAAAAACTCAGTAGCTGTAAGTTTAATAACATGCCGTGACACAAATAAAAGCTCTTACAGCATTTCTACTCTTCAGTGCTGCAGTAATGGTAGTACACAAGCGTCACCTTGAATCACCTGTGTGTGTGTGTCTGTGTGTGTGTGTGTGTTTGTGTGTGCTAAAGCCGAGCTGCCCGTGTGAAAAAGAGTTTTCATTATAGATGTGCGAACACAGTTTATATTATATACACAGCACATATTACGTTTCTCTGAGGACCCGTATACTTTATGGACACATATATAAAAACAACCTTGGGGTTTTTTTTTCCACTCAACAAAAATGCATCTGGCCTTGTTCAGAGGTGTTCCTTCATTTTATACTCAACATCTAGACAACTCGCTTCATCCGTCCATTTATTTTTTACGGCTTAATCTTGTTCAGGGTCGGGGCGTGGGGGGTCGAGGGAGGGGAGAGTGGCTGAATGCCAATGTGACTTCAGGACAAGTTGAAGTGAACCTTGGACAGCTCACTACTGTGTTTCATTATTGGGTCACATACTGTACAGAGACAACAGCCTCTCACACTCACATCAACATCTGTGGCTTATTCTCCAACTAAAGTAATCCCTAAGATGATGACTTGTTGTTTTTTGCCGCAAACCTTCATAAAAACTTGAAAAGCATTTTGTAAAACATCTCAGAAAACCCAGTCCTGTCTGTTTGAAAGGTCAACCACACTCTGGACCCAGAGAAAAGACGTAGCTAATGTAATCAGCTGTGATTGGAGGGAGGAAGACGCTTCAGAGAATGTTACCCTGTGGTTGATGTACCAAACAAACAGCATGTCCCCCGACTTGACCAACATCAATGTATTTACTCAGAGTAATGAACCTGTTACTGCTGCGTGTTATATTGACTCACACACACACACACACAGCAGAAGGATGATCAGTGTTTACATCTTTTCATTAGTGTAAAGACAAGACAAAGGGTTGAATTGATTTTCTGTCTCCTGCTCCTTCCTTTAACCACGTACACAACAGCAGTGTCACTCTGCACGCTCCAACCTTGTCTTGTGTGTGTGTGTTTTCTATTTTTAGCTATTGGGGTGCAGATGTCCTTGGATATGCTGGAGAAGAGATTCTGGACCATTGCAAAGCAGGTAACTGAAAAAAATCCTGTTCTACTGAATGGTCATTTTTTATGAATCTGGTAAATCATCACGTGTCATCACGTCTGTCGCCAACTACGAGACACTTCATGTAATGCATATGTTCATCATTCAAACACGGAAACTTAGTGAAACTTTCTAATTTGTAGATGGGGTTCAATCTAAACTCCTGGGCTTCAGTCTTCAGAGTTTAGATCAGATGTGTTGGATCATCATCTTTTTTTACAAGCTACGAGAATATAAACAGCCAGAGCTGTGGGAATATAAACAGAGAAGCAGCTTTGTCTGCGTTCTGACAGCGTTGCTCTTGTTAATGGATGGGCACACAGTCAGTGATCAATGAGTTTCAGAGACGTACGACTGTTTCCAGCTGCGTTACCACCTGCTGGATAATCCTGCAGATTTAGAGGTTATTTCCTTAATTTTCTTTTGTGTTCGTAAGGGACTGCAGAGGCAGGTAGACTTTTAATCTAAGTGAAGAACAAGATGACCACGTTCAACATTTTTAATCAGGATAATCCTCGGAGCAGAACAGAGGGGTTTAATTTAGATTCATTTATTAGATTCATTAAACTCATTATTTTTCTTCTTTTTCTAATCCTGCCATTTTGGAGAAAAGCTGTCGTGGCAGTTTGTTTCGTTTGCTCTTTGAGATATTGATTGCCTTAACTTGGACAATAGCAAATACAGTCGTCCCTCGCTGTATTGTGGATCGGCAATCGTTCCCTCAGTGCATCGTGGGTTTTTAATATTTTAAATGCATTCTTGTATTGCAGAATATTTTGTGGTATATAAAAAAATGTCCAATATTTTTATTATTTTCGTGATAAAATAAGCATTTTCTATCCTAAGAAGAAATAGTAAGAAAAAAGTATTAAGAAACACCTTTTCTAACACATACATACACAGTATTGCAAGAAATAACGTGTACATACCGGTAAACGAGATTTGTGAAAGCTGTGCACGGGTAAACGAGATCTGTGAAAGTTTCGTTTGACAGCTTTTTTGCCACATTTTACGCTCTACGACGCGTCCTATAGGGTTCTTAAGGGGTTAATATATATGTAAGTATTATAATAAATATCACATTTTTTGCGAGGGACCACTGTAGCTCTTTTAATACACCAAATAAAGGACATTCCCAATGAACACAATCTTCCAGAGAAATTGTCTAAACCAAGAACAGAGTGGATTCTGGGTCAAGGCTGAAAGAGGCAGTCATTCAAAAATAAACAAACCGTCAAACCTACACTTGACTTGAGTCATGAGCCAATTTGGAACACACAGGTGTTTGTCCTTGTGCTGGTCTATCGTAGCTCAGTGAAGCAGAGGCCACCGTGCAGCCGAATATGTGCCAACGTCCTGTGGCAGGTCGATGGTGTAGATAATGTTATTAATGAGAGCGGACAGCTGTAACAGCCCTGGATTAATGTGTTCACTGCCAAATTTAAATTCACAGGACTTCAATATCATACAGTGCCACTTCAGTTCAGCATACTGCCAAATTCACAGGACTATCATACAGTGCCACTTCAGTTCAGCAAAAAACCTCACGAAATCCATTTAAAACAGGGATATGCACTGCAGATGTTGCATTTAGCTTTAATCTTTAACAGCCTGTTCTGTCTTATTCCGTCTCTGCAGCATTTTTAACAGGCCCTGAAGTCAGTATCTCAGTGTCTTGAAGACTTACTGTACTAATAAACCTGCCATTTAAACCATGGGCACAGGGAAAGGTTGGATTTCTTTTTAACATAAAGCACATATGAGATTCTAGCATCTCAGCATCCCTTTTGAAAATTCCCATTGTGCATCACCAAACAAAAATATCTCAAAAGGTGTATGTGGTGAAGTAAAATGATCCATCTGTCATCTAGCTTCAATTTAATTACCCAGTGTGAAAGCTGAGCCTGTTTAGTTGAACACAACCCTGACGTACTTGCAGGACTTGAAGAAAGCCACTCAAAGAACAGTATTCAATTCTTCTGCCTATAACTATTACATAGACAAATTATTTGCAGTTATTCATTGCATTATATACCTCATGTATGTTTTTATAATTGTATTTATTGATTAAATACTAACATGTAAAAGAATATCTGCAGTGGTAACCAACCAATCAAAGCTTTGACGATCTAATGTTTTTGTTTAGAGTTTAAAAACCAGTAAACGTGCAATGTTTTTTAATGTGTTTTTGTTTCTTCTCCTTGCAACTTCCTCAACTCACGACTTATTGTTGCTTCCAGCCCAGTGATACAGATGTAAGTAGTGAATATTTATAGCTTCAAAGCAGAGGAGTCACTTTATTTTATCAAATCTTACATTTGCTAAGCGTAGCTTATCATGTCAAAAACAAAAAAATTCAGCTTTACAGAATTGTGCAATTTTTCCCCTTTAACATTTCACTGATACATGTTTTATTTCAGTGTTCAACAGTAGAGGGCGTGTGTCCACTGAGCTGTGAGAGTGCTGTAAGGACCTTCTCTTTGACCCTTTGTCCTTATTACAAGAAATATTTTATGCTCAACAACTTCAGTAACTCATGTCTATGATGATGCTTTTTTTTAGGATCTCAACTGTTTCCTGGTCGACAATAATGGCTTTGTTTTGCTGTCCAAAGAGAGGAATGAGGTGAGATCCTTCAGGGCAACAGATCGTTACAGGCACAAAGAAAGACCGACTGTAGTCGATAAAACACAGTAACTATTACTGCCTTACTACGGCCGATATTAGCATTTTATGTAATATCTGTAAGAATCGTCATCAGTTTTTCCTCCCATAATGAAAACCCGATAACGCAATGTCTGGATTTCGTCAAATGATGTGTGCCGTAAAAATGGTTTTGGGGATAAACAGCTGTATATTAAAGCGAAGGTCACTAGATGGCAGCATTGCATTCATTTAATAATCTCATACTCATACCGCGGTTTGTAGAGATAAATAAATAAATATTACCAGGCCAACATCAGTGTTGGTTGATATCTGAATCGGAAATTAAGTGTTTGAACAATATTGGCGTAAGCGATATTGGCAAAAAGTTAATATCGGACATGCCTAATTAAGACCTTCTATATTGGACTAATTTTTTTTTTAATTAAATGCTTTAATGGTCTTAATTATGGATAAAACCCAGAACTCAATCCATTCTGATCACATGAAGTTCAGTCTGTTTGCAGAACTGAAACAAATATATATCTGTAACATTTGGTTATAACATAACGACAATACGGCAGGGAAAAATAATCAAACATAAAGTCCGTTGTCAGGAGCAGACAGTCGCAACACCACGTGTCACTGTTAAACAGCACAAGTCATAAAACACAAGCTGGTGCAGCCAGTGCCAGAGGGAGGCAGTCTATCACCTGGAAGTCTGTGTTTGGTTTGTTTGTTAGTTTCAGGGAAGTGTATGCAGTGAGTAATGCAGCAGCAGTGAAAGTCAGAGGCACTTTTATGGTACAATTCCAGAAAAGAGGAAATTGTAACGCAGTTTAAACATACAGCATTAAAATGTCAAGTTGTATAGGAAAAATAGAGGGCAAAAAAAAAAAAAACTTCAGAAGCTCATTTTTTAATATTTGCAATACACCGCATGCTGCATTCCCACTGGCTGTACTAAGCAAAAATGATGAAGTGCATCTCTAGTGTTTTGCTGAGCTGGACTTTGCACACACACTCTGGACAGGCAGAGTCCTCCCTGGTGTAAGGTGCAGTCGGTAGTTTGTTGCAAGGCAGGGTAAATATTTAAAGAGCAGAGAAATTAAGCTGGTGCTGACTAAAAGGAATATGTCAGAAGTAGGAAGTGTAGTCAGTGAGTGAAGCAGGGTGAGAAAGCAAAATGCTGGCCCTCAGGAAATGTTTTTTCTGCTCGATGGACATGACTGAGGAGCTGCTGCAGGATTATCCTGGGGCCTCAGAGGAGGTTGGACTGATGGACACGACCTGTGGAGGACATTGAAGTCTTTTTTTAATGAAAAAGATTAACCCCTTCAAAGTTTTCCTTTGACCTTTTCTTTAATAGTGTAGAAACAAAATCTTTGGCTTCAGCTTTTTCCTTGTCATTACTTTGTAATTTAAGAAGTAATGTCATGTTAATCACACACGAGGCCGGGGTCTGAACCCTAGAGAAGGTCTTTTGTGGACCTGAGAACTTTACTGCTCTTTTTTTATATTTCTTTTGAATTGATTTTTTTTCTTTTTGGATATAAAATGTAAGGTTTTTTTCCTGGGGAAGAAACTGCTTCCAACTCACAGATATCTTTTATATATTCCTGGGGAAGAAACTGCGTCCAACTCACAGATATCTTTTATATATTTCCTGGGGAAGAAACTCACAGATATCTTTTATATATTAAATAAAATGAATTTAAAATGTAATTCTAGAACTCCAGATGCTGACACTATAGAGTGTTTATTTGTAGGAAAGTATATTTCTAGGAGCTGCATACGTTATTTGTTTACTCTTTTTTTATTATTATTATTCTACTTTTGTTTTGGTTAATGGTGACAGAGATGAGTTGTTTAGTTTAGCTATAAGTCGCATTTTTTCATCCTTTGGCGTGGGTTGCGACGCAGGTGAGACTTTTCACGTTTGCTATTTTCACACGGACAGCCGCTAGAGGGCACTCTCGGCTTGTGTACCAGTATCTGCTTCTCCTGTATCACTGAAAATTTACATGTTCGTTATTTTCACACTGACAGCCGCTAGAGGGCACTAGTGCGACACATACTCTGAAAATACATTTTTCTAATTAAAGAAGTAAAGAAACTTGGAGAAAGAAACAAAATATATAATGGAATAAAGACAGACACAAAGCAATTTTTGTATACTGTTATTACTGTCATTGATAATATCGACTGTAATTTTGTGTTGAAATAACCATGTGTACCTTCCTAACGTGTTTTGCAGGTTGGTCGTTTCTTTGGCGAGGTGGATGGTTCTGTCATGGCCTCACTCATCAAGATGGGAATGTTTAAAAAGTACAAACTCCTTTAACTCTTTTTCTTTAAAAATATTCGATTGTGTGGCCATATAATCCAAGACACTGTGAAGAATTGTAATCTATCTGTGTGTTTGCAGGGTGTCGTTGTTCGACTACCAGGCCATGTGTAAGAACAGTCACCATCACTCCAGCGGTGCCAGACCTCTGCTCAGTGTGAGTGGCATCGTTACACATGATGACATTTCTGCTAACCACGTCAACCACATGCTGTTAGAACAGATACCACAAACAAAGTAGAAATATTTGACCCATATTTCTATCACTTGTTGTTTTGCGTTCTGCTCAATGCGTTCTTCTTCGTGTGTTTCCATTTGTTCCGTAGCCGTTTTATGGGATTGTGGCTTTAATCAGGTGGTTCTTCTCTAACGCACTGATGTAAGTATTAACGGCTGCCTGGTATGATGGGAGTTGATTTTGTGTTTGACTGTTCTAAATGAAGGATTAACAACACACTTGAATGAGCATAGGTCACTATAAAAAATAACTTTAAAATACCATGTTATGGGATTTATGATATTTTCATTCTTATGACTTGTAGAAAATTCATTGCCTTAGATTCCAGGCCATTGATTGTTATTGAATCATTCATGTCTTTCCTAGGCTATTGGTGCTTTGCTCTACAATTATCAATCAAAAAAGTCTACAAATGTAAAATGTTACCTTTTCAAACACCTAGCTTGGTTATTTTCCTAAATCATGTCCTATGTTTGTCCTAAGACTTTATGACTTACCTTTAAATAAATAGAAAATGACATCATATATTTTCTTGATGGCACAGTTCAAACTGTAGCACCATTCATTTGAATACCCTGAACATAACACTTTTTAAAAGTTAGAATATAACACATCATTTCTGTCTTGTTTGTCTCCGTCAGGTTCCTCCTGGACTTTAACTTCTGTGGTCTCTGGCACTCGGACTATTTTGTGGACGGTAAGACCTGATGAAAATTAAACTGCGGACAAATCTCCGTCAGTCCATCTGTGCATTTGTCTGTGTTCAGTCCAACCTCCGGGACCTGAGTGCATGAGTTCTCCAATCATCTGCCGTCATTTTTTTCAAAACTACTGTTCATAAAATAGAGAGGTGTCGTGTATGGCTGTGTGTTTTTATCCTTTATCTCATCACTGCTTTTTTTCTCATTTACAAACATCTTTAATGGCCTCATCTCCATCACCTTCATCATCTTCATCGCCATCACCTGTGTTGTACACACGCTGTGACTCATCTCCATTTCTTCAGCCAAGGCTGGTTATCACACAAGTAAGTATGACCTGTGATGGATGTTGTTATTCATAACGAAAATAAATGTGTCTTGAGGAAAAGAAAAGGTCAGTAGCAGCCAGTGTGTTCATTCCCATAGGACTGAAAAAAATATTTTCAGATGTATTCTTGTATTGAGTGTTCGCTCTATCGCATGTTTTTGCAGTAAATAAACAATGATGAAAAGATTTTTAATCTTTTCATCATTTTCGTGATAAAATAAGCATTTTCTAATCATTTTCGTGGTAAAATAAGCATTTTCTAGCCTAAGAAGGAAAAACAGTAAAAAAAGAAAAAAAAAGTGAAAAAATATTAATAGACATTTTGTAACTGGATTAATAAGGCGCTATATTTATAGATTTTTAGATTTTATAAATATATTTTTTAGAAAACAATGGTTTTCCTAAATTAAAAAACAACCATGAACTATTTTGTTGATCCTCTGCTGCAGTAAAGTGAATATTTTCGTGTGTTTGTCTGTATCTCATCAGCTCATAAGCAGAAGAAGGTGGAGGCGATGAAGCCGTGTGACACAGCCTATCCTGGCTTCATGTACGACTCCACCGTCAAAGAGGCCAACAGTCTCATCAAGTGTGGACGCTGCCAGAAGTACGACACGCACCGGCCTGTTGACTGAATGTGATACGTGCGGGTCAATGTAACAATGTTTGTGTTTCAGGATGTTTGTGGTGCAGCAGGTTCCTGACAGTAATCTGGTTCTGGTGGTGACTGAGGCCGACTGTGATTGCTCCCGTCAGTATGGAACCATTCCCTTGGAGCCCAAAGAGATCAAATATATCCTTTGGTCAATGAGAAGAAAACAGAACCACTTCCTACTGGTTGATTCGTGTTTCATTTTTCCCACGTACTTGAAATCCCGTTGTTTTCTTTAACCTCTGTGAACATAACGCCACAGTGAAGTGCAACAGGATGAAATCCCAAAAGATCCGACGTCGCCCAGAGTCCTGCCACGCCTACCATCCGAAGGTACAGAAAATGTTTTGTTGCTAAAACTGTGGCATATTTACAGTAAATCAATTGCAGTGTTAGCTCTTCACATTTATTTTTAAGTTGAAATTTAAATAAATAAATTGCAGTATTGATAAATTTTCAGACTCTGTCTGAACTGGTCAAATCTAATTAAAAAAATTATGCATTGTAAATGATTTACTTGTAAAATTATATACTATAATTTGTTACATTTTTATGTACAGTATATCTAACAATGACGCATAAAACATCCACAGGAAAACGCTAAGGACTGTGGCGGGGCGTCGACCATTTCCCTGTCAGTTCTCCTGTTCTCCCTCTCTCTGCTGGTCTCACTGGTGCCGCACACTGGACATATACCAGCACCAACCAATCAGATGTCGCTGTAGAGCTCGAGGAAGTGTTTCGCACAAGAACTTGTGAGACAGTTGTTTTTCTCTGCTTTTCAAACGGCTTCAATCTGCAGTGGAAGTAAAACTCAGACGGCGGCTGAACAAACTGGCCATGAGCTGCAGAGGAGAAAAAGGACTATTTTTTAACACGAAGAAGACGCATGTTGTAGCGGGCGTAGAGCACCCTCGTGTGGACAGAAATAAAAAGTGCATCTATAGGGTAAGAGAAATGTCATGCATACACAAAATGTTGTACTTTAGCCTTTTGATGAGGACGCTGTGTAGAAGTAGATTTTTTTACATTTCAATTCTTTATCTGTAGTTTGAAAAAAGACTGAAAAACAACATAAAACAAAGAAGCCAAGTATCTGAGCCGTTTTTGACACGAGGAGAACTCTGCAGCTTTATTGTGTAACTTACAACATATATGTATAATTTATACACTATATTTGAACACTGTAGGTAACAGTTTTGTTTAACTTTTCTTACTGTGCGTCTTTTTTCACATTCACATTTATGACAAAATAAACAACGTTCATCATACACTATTTTACTTTTTTTTTTTTTTACTATTTTAATACACTATTATTTTGGAGTTCGAATATAAAGATATTAAATCTGGTATATAAAAAAAGAAAAAACATACAGAAGCGTTTTTGGCTTAAAATATGTGTTTTTGTCACTGTCTTTAATGGATTAGACATTTTAAATAGACCAGTCCCGCTTTACGTTGTACTGCACAGCAATTTTAGCCAAATTGAACATTTTGTCCCACTTTTTCATTCGACATTACACAATTGAAAATCAACTATTTCATGTGCCTGGCTGTCTATGGGTAGTCTATCAGCAATGATAGGTGACTTCGTGGATAAGGCGGAAGCTGACAGGCTGAGGGGTGTGTCAATCAAACTGCTGACTCGCAGCAATCACACACACACTTTAGCGTCTGACATTGTATAGCGCGTAGTTGTTTTGATACTGTGAAGGCGCCCATGTACAGTGTGCCGAAAAAAAAGATGTTTTTTGTCTGAGACCGGTGGGTGGAGATTCTGGACCAGCATTCTGGAATTGGCGTAAAAACGGCTTTTCTGTCGGGCATGGAAGTGACTTTGATGGGAAACGACACGGTGCAAGTGAGTCTCACTACAACTACACAAGTACACAACAGAAAACATCCAAAGGTGTACAGTATTTTTTTGCAAACTGAGTTGGATAAAATTACTGCAGTAATAGTTACCAGTGTTTACTATGCAGTGCAATCTGCACATTCATATCGGTTAACCGACTGCAGAATATCTCAAGAGAGATTCAGGTCAAAGTTCACTCTGGACACAGCTGTATAGAGTTCTACCACGATGTAGAATATATATTCATGGCCACTGAATCTTGTTATAGCATAGGTTTTAACATTAGGTTGCTTTTCTGCTACTAATGTGTTTCAGAAACGTGCTAATCCTAGTACTGAGAAAGGCTGTTGGCCTGCCACCTGCTGGATTGTGATGAAAAATCTGTTTAGTGGCGCTGGGTTATTTCTACTATTTATTTTCATGATTTCACAGATGGCCATATAATCCACAGGAGTTGTTGGTTTTACAGAGATCTGTTTACAATGAAATGGTTGATTTTGACATCAGGTCATATTTTGTTGCACCTTATCTGCTTATTTTATGTTAAATATGGAAGAATTAAGATTAAATATGTGTGCTTTTCAAGTTTAGATCATGTCTTGGATACTATAGAGTTTTTGTTGGTTATATGGAGATGAAGGCGAAATACATGCATGTTACTAAAAGTGCTGGTTTTAATTGATTGAGGCTGTCCCTCATTATCCCACTGTTCTTTAAATGCCCTAATTTTTTAGACAAATGCATAAAAATACTATTTTGAAAAATAATTTTGCAAAAATTTTCTTCAAAATGTATTAGTGTTTGACCAAAAATTTTGACAGCAAATTTAATTTAAAAAATTTTGAAAGTTCCGTAATTGCCCTAATTTATTGAGAAACATGCAGGAAAAGACACATTTTGAAAAAAAATAATTTTATAAAAATATTCGTCAAAATGTATTAGTTTTTTTTTACCAAAAAATACACAAACTTCACATTTTGACAACAAATTTCATAAAATAAAATAGTTAACGTTCTTTAATTGTGCTAATTTGTTTAGAAACATGCAGGAAAAGATACATTTAAAAAAAAATCTGTCATAATTTATTAGTTTTTGACCAAAAAAGACAAAAACCTTCACATTTTGACAACAAATTTAACTTTTAACCAACTCAACTTAACTCAAAACCAAATTTTGATCACAAAAAAATGCTATACCAATAAATTCCTGAACAAATCTCCGAAAATAAAAGTTTCTCAAAAATGACTAAAATGCACTCATTTGCCTTAAAATACTTAGCTATATCCATTTTTGTGGTTAAAATTCAGAAAAAATATACTTTTTTCGTACGCCAACATTGGATCACAGTAAAATGCTGTACTAATAAATTAAAACAATTCCATAAAAAGTCCCCGAAATGCCTTA